AGATGATTATATAATAAATTAAAGTAATATTAAATTTATTATTTTCTGTTGTTAAGGGAAATTATAATTGGGCATAAGTTGTGATATAAATTAAATTAGTGATATATAATGGATGATTAGTCATTAGTCAATTTGTGGAACCCAATGCCTTTTAATTCACCAAAAACAAGAGCATCGAATCGGATACAGCTTTTTAAATAAAGTCAATTCCCAAAACATATATCACTATGCAATGCAGAAGTATGTGCTTTCTTACTACATTTAAGAAAACATTGGTCAAACAAATAAAAGGGTTAGATGGTGGAAAGTGGGTTAAATTTCTGGGTCAAAAATTCATTAAATTAAGAAGCACAAAATATATTTAAAAAAATTGTGTAATAAATTTAGGATATGCTTAGCCAATTTTTTCATAAGCATTTTTAGAAAATAAAACAAAAATAAAAAATAAAAAAAGTTTCTTTTAAGATATAATAATAAGTTGATTGATTTATAAAAAGATCAAAAAGACTGGTCAAGCATAGAAAAATTTTGCACTAATCAAATATGTTTTCGTTTTGGAGGAAGACCACATAGATCTGTAAAATTTCAATAGAAGTTGATAAAATTCATCAAACTCGTAATAATGGTGAATAGATACAAGAACCCTAATAAGAAATTTTCTTCTTTGTGTTCAGTGCACAAAATAGGGTAAACAATAAGCATTTCATTTTCGTTTGTGTTGGTTGATGTTTGTGAAATTGGTCGATGAAAACTGGTTGAAAATGGTGTGAGAATCACGGGGAACTGATAGATGTTGGTCACATTCACATTCAATGATATATTTTAAAAGTCTTTCACCGTGTAACAATGGTGCGATTTTGATATTTCACGTCAATAACGGTGTTATGATTTAGTTTTTAAGTCTCATAAATGTGTAATTTAATTGATTTTATTAATTGATAACGATATTTTTAAAATCGTTGAGGCTAAGGTGTCGGTTTAAGTGTAAAATACATATAAAATTAAAATTAAAATATTATTATATTTAAACTAAAAATTTATAATTTTCATTGATATTATTAATACACTAAATAAAAATAATAAAATATTTTTAATTTAATATCATAAAATTAATTTATAAGACAAGATTTCAGTTCATCGTATATCATAATTTAATTATATTTTTAATTAATATGCGATTTTAACCAATATATTATTATTATTATTATTATTATTTAATTTTAATTTATAAGGATCACACAACATATAAATATAAATAAAATTGACTTTGGAATTAAAAATAAAACGGTGTTTAATTCAATTGGACAAAACTATAATTTAATTATATTTTGAATATGTGAGATTTAAATATATTTTAAATTTAAATGAAATTTATGAATTTTTAAAATTAATTATTAATAGTATTGGATATATAATGGTTAAGAAGAAAAAGTGTAAAGACAGTAATTAAATTAGCATAGGTTGCGAGTCAATTAAGAAAAGGGTTATAATCATTCCAGATAGATATGCATTGTTATTGTTATCAACATTATAAATTAATATTTTTGAACAATTAGGACTTCAATGTGGTCCCAATTTTCCCTTTGTCACTTTCAGGGAAAATGGGTGAAACTTTCTCAAGTCCCCAACAAGCGGAAGATTTGGCTAAACTAGATGTGATGGGCCCCACTCATTTTAATTGTGGGAGTGGCCCCCACATGCATCCACATGATGCTTTGATTTATGTTTTTTTTTTTTTTCAACAATTTCGTTTCTACTTTTATTAAACACCTTGATTGGTACCATGAGTGCGTGGTTTCATCACAAATATCTAAAATAAGAATAACTTTGGGTTACATCCATAAACCATGTTCAAAAACTAAACATGAGAAAAGAAAAGAAAAAAATTCTTTTTACTTTATTTTATTTTATTGTTAATTAATCTCTTTTGGGATCAAAATGTACTCATTATTAACCTTATGTATGTGTGATACCATATTGGCAAACATTTATGATCTTAGGTTCATGTGTGACACATCATAAGAGTAACCCCACCATGTACACTTCATAATTTATTATTTTCTTTGCACGGAAAACGTAGATGCTTTTTATTATTTTATTATACAACATAACTTCATCACAAAACAAAACCCTAGTTCTCTTGTGTTAATTAATTTAAGCAGTTTTAAAAATCAATATTATTATTACGTAAATTCTATACTATTTGTATTAGTAAATTACAGTATTTCTTAATCACTGGTAGTAATTAACCAGGAAAGAGTGGGAAAGAAGAGAAATTTGGTAAGTGTTAAATGTGAAGAAAAAATAATTGACTTTTATGCTGACTATAGACATGGTTAAGTTAACCACTCATGGACCACAGGTTTAGATGTTATTTACTTATTATTAGTCTTACCGTTTTAATTATCACATACAAAATATCGTGGTTGGATTGTTAATCATTTTATTATAAACACAGACTTTAACAAGTATTAAGAATCAGATCACACATGTTCTAAATTTCTAATATCAAATATAGTAAATTATTATTATTATTATTATGATTATTCCTCTTTGATTTTTAAAATGTGATTTTAGTGTTTTTCAAATTTATATCTGTAATATAAAATTAAAAGTAAAAATATTTTTAATTATTTTAAATCTATATATACTTAAAACCACCTACTAACTTTAATTCATTTGATCCTCATTAATAGGATAATTTTTCTTTTTCATTTACACGTTGAAGGATTATTATCAACATTTTATTTTTTGTGACTTAATAATCCGACGAAACCATAACAACATAAGTCTTGTTAAGTACGGGTCTGTCTCTATTGGCCAACTTCAAAAGTTAAAATTTTGATTGGGTCGGAAAAAATATTTTTTTATATAAATTTAACTCAATTTTGACCGTGTCCAAAATGGGTGGCTCGTAATTTATGGTAGTATGTATATAAAATATTTTTTTTTACATTAATACAAGTAATATTATTTTATTAATATATATATATATATATATATATATATATATATATATATATCATTAAATTAGGAAAAAAATATAAAACGAAAAAGTTATAATTATTAGATATAAGAATATTTTCTGTTTTTTTTAATATTATATTATATATTTGATTTTAGTATAAGTAAAGAATTATTTATTTTAATGTTATAAGATTGATAAATAAAATGAAATTGATCATATTTAATTGATGTAAGATCTTTAATATATTTTTAATTAACGTGGAATTATAAAAAAAAATTATAATTATTTTTATATTTATGACACTTTATCAAAATAATATAATTAAAATTAATATATGTATATATATTAAATATATAATAACTTTATAAATTAATGAGAAAATAATTTTATAAAATAACATTTTATTTATATTTTTTCTATTTTTCTATTATATAAATAAAAAGTAAAATAGGTGAGTTATAATGAAAAGTAACTTGATATTTTTTTATATTTAAACATGAGAATTTTTATTTTTTTCTATATTAGTCAATTTTTTCTGCAAATAATCACACCCTTAATAAACAGTCTATTTCATTAAAAAAAAAAAACATTTTCACTTCTCCAATTTTTTTAAAAGAGATTATCCTTTTTATGTGTCTAAAAGGTGATAACTCAAATTTTGGAAATTTTAAAAATAATAAGAACATAGAAAAGTTATGTGTTAGTAATTAAATCTTCGTTTGGAAGAGTTAAAAAAAATAAGAGAAAAATAGTAAAACTCCATAACACTTATTTAGATAATTTGCATCTTGTATACATGTTTATTCAGCCAATCTCTCTTCAAAATAATGTTCAGATCATTATGTCTTTTTATGCTGATTGAAACTTATTTGTCAAAATTTGTATCTTAATATTATTATTAATTACACTAAAAAGTAATAATTAATATGAGATGAAATTATGAACATTTTTTTAAGATTAATGTTAAAAATTTACTTTTATTTAAGGATGGAACTATTAACTTGATACACATTAAAGTAAAAGATTTACCATTTAAGATTTGAACATATTTATAAGAAAAAAATAGAAAAAATTAAACAATAAACATATATCATGGTCGAGTAAATTTATCAAATTTAAGTTCCAAAACATTTTTTAAACAAAACGTGTTAAGTATTTTTAAGGGAGTAATAAATTATAAATAAATATAAATCAAGAATACGACATCATCTTTTTATTCAGTTATAAAATGCTTAATTTTTTCATTTTTATGGTGGATTTAAAATATATTTAAATTCGCCACACAACCTAAATCTACAAAATTCAATCAGCAAATATTTTCATATGCGTGTTGGATGAAGTACGTTTGGCACGACCTTTTGTCCATCACAATGCATGATTTGACCATAAAGTGAGCAAATGAGGGACATGGAATCAATTGTGAACAGTTAGATTTGAAGTTTGAAGTAATTTCTCCTACTAAAAGTGACATGAATGGTTAGCAAAATCGATTGCATGAGCAAGTTTCAAAAATATATTTTAAAACTTAATAATGCATAATTCAATTTTTTATTCTTGAATTATCATTTAAAAACTAGACTAATTACTTACAAGTGTCACCAACAGGCTGTTACTTTGTTTTAAAGATTGTCTTCACTTATAATAATTGCGATCATTCATTATTATATTTTTCTAATGCTCTTAAGATAGATATTATAACTTGAATATATGATAATTACTCAAACTCACGCTAGTTTTAATTACTTGACTTTACACCAACATGACTTCATCACTTGCTTGTTAAGCATGGCACCGATTATATGTAAACCAGAGCACCGGAAGCATATTACAGCAACAAAAATAATGTGTTAATGACATTGATTAGAAAGAGGTTATAAAACAATCAAACTTAATTAATCTCCAAATTAGTCTTTATGGAAAGGAATTAGAATTCAGACACGTAGGAGTGTGGCGAGGTTAAAGGGAGGGAGATAAAAAGTAAAGTGTTTAATTCTTGAGTTGTTGAATGGAAAATGGGTTTCGTAGAGTGGAAATGTGTGAAAAGGTTAATGCATATGGATGGTGTGGTAGGGGCATGAACTTGGTGGGCGTTGTGAGGGCTCATTTTGGGAGACAACAAAGCGGCATTAGTAGCCATTTGTCTGGGCAAAAGAAGCCAACCCCAAGGATTGGGAATCATTATGGTGGCCATTCAAAACCCTCATTTTGGACCAAATCATTTACTCCACACAAACTATCTTTCCACAATTTTACCTCTTTCTAGGCCAATTGGTATTGGTTCAACTATATTTTTAAACCTACCATTAAAGGTTTAATTTTTCATATTTCTTTTCGTTACATTTATATATATATATATATATATATATATATATATATATATATATATATATATATATATATATATAATTTAATCTGGAAACTGTGTATAAGTAAGTTAAGTTTTAAAATTATATAAAAAAAAAGTGTCCGTTATTATTTCATCTATGTTGGCTTAAGCTTTTAATGATGTGTTTACAAAATTTTATTTATTGAAGTTAATTTTATCTCATTTAATAGAAGTGAAAAGAAATTTTTTATATTAGAATAGAGAGGGTAAACTTGCCAGTTAATTGGAAGAGAAAAAAAAACTATTTGATATATTTACTGAGCTAATAAAATTATGATTGTTGTTTCATTATATCAATTGAAATTTTGATGACAAGTTTGTGATATAAGATTCTTTAATTTGACATTAGGGTCATTAATTGGAGATACGTAATTAGAGAAATAAGTTGTATAATGTGACTATATTTTATGTTTTTCTTTTTTTGTTATTTAAATTTGGGAGGATTATTGTTTTGATGTATTGGTTGTTTAGATAATTGTTTTATTTTCAATTTGACTCTTTTGTATGCATATTTGATCCGGAGTTTAATTGACTGGATTATGTTTACAAGTTTTTACTCATTATATTGAGAGAATGTTTACACGTTAAAAAAATTAGTGTCTTTTTTTGTGATTATTCTTATTATTTTTTATTATTGTTGTTTATTACGGATTGTAATAAGTTTGAGGAAATTACTTTTGTTGTATACTTTGATATTTTTTTGTTGTTGGGTTCCCTATCAAAGTCAATTGTTTGTTTTGTAACATATTCGATTGAGTAAACAAGTCTCACAATATTAAATAACGATACAAATAAAAACAATATTTAGTACTTATAGTTCAAAAATGTTTCTGTCCGAGAGGGCGATGTCCCGTATAAAAAAGAATCATAATTAAAAGAAAGATTGTTAGGAATTCAAACATGATTTAAAGTTTTATATTAGATAAAAATAAAAAAGTTATCAAATTTATAAATTAAATTGAAAAAATATATAGATAAATTATCTTATATTCTCATTCCCCATATGTAACAATATTAAAAAAATGAAAGTAAAGGTGAATGTTCCACGATTTCGTAAGGAATTAAGAAAGAAAATAGAAAATGCAAAAGGAATTCGGAGCATTGATAATGGTTGGTTGTATATAGAATCTTTACCCTCCTAAAATTGTGAGCTGAACTAATTATATAACTATTAAAAGTGAGCATAATTTGGTAAAATAAATGTTTAAATTTTGAAAATAATGAATAAAAGACAATAGACAAACTAAATAGTATTTTTATTTTAATGTTTTAGACTTTGGAGATACTACAAAATTCTTATCTATCTTTCATATTTCATCATAACTATTGAGAACCTAAACTAACTATATATATATATATATATATATATATATATATATATATATATATATATATAAAATGGAATGTGAATAAATTTCTTCATAAATAAATAAATAAATATATTTATTTATGAAGAAATTTGTTTACACTGAATCAATCCAATCTATTTGATATATATATATATATATATATATATATATATATATATATATATATATATATATATATATCGATCTATTTGATAATTATATATATATATATATATATATATATATTTATGAAGAAATTTATTCACATGTTGAATTATTGGCAAGCGTACCAAAATTATCAATCGCAGATATAGTATTTCGATAAAATAAAAGTCGATCCCACGAGGAACAATTTTAATGAAAATTCTCAATTATGCTTACTAAGTATATTAACCAGATTGGGTTTTGCAAATAAGAATTGGGTTGAATTTAAATGACAAAGAACTGTAAATTGTTGAGAAAATATCAATTAAAGGTACTTAGGATTGACTTCCTTCCTTATCCCTCTTTTGTAATGGTTATGTCAATTAAGAACGTCAATTAACCTAACAATGTTGATTCCACCTACTCAAATCATCCATGTTGATTCCTCACACATGAAATTCATGAGAAAACCTAATAAATGTTGATTCCTCACACAATTAACAGATTTTTCAGCATTAGGGTTAGGGTGTTAAGCAATTGATACATTCATTCCATTCCTAGCAATTAACGTAACAAATATTCTTACCGTGATCTAGGGTTCAAGATATATTTTCTAATCATATCTCAAACAATCAAGAATAAATCATTCCAAAGCATAAAGGATAAGAATAACAACATCAAAGCATAGATTAATATCTCAAAATATCACAATGATACAAAAGAGTTCAAAGGAAGTGTACTGAATCCTAAGAGAATGAAGTTAGTCACTCATGTTGGCCATTACAATGCTCCAATTGATGAAGAAGTGAAGAATTGATGAAGATTAGACAAAACCCTAACAGTAGGCGTGACTCCTCTCCCCAAGACTGCTTGCTTTTCTCAAAACACAACTCATCTTTTTATAAGAGAATTTGGACCGGGCCTCGCATCATTTATTCACTTAAGCGCTATTCTTTCTTTCAATTTTACTCCAATTATGTTGACAATTATGCTCCTTACTTTTGTATCAAGGTATTCTCGAATTCATCCTATATTGGGAGAAAAATATATTAGAATTAACATAAGTTAAGTGGTTTCATAACAATTCAAGGCATAATTATATCAACTTTTTACCACTTAACAACTCCTCCCAACCTAGAATCTTGCTTGTCCCAAGCAAAGTAATTTTTCCAAAACAAAATCATCACCTATTATCTTTTTCTCTTCTAGAACCACAACATAAAAATTTTCAGAGGTGATGCTCACAACTCCAAATGAAAATATAACACATAAGCATTCAAGTTATAAAAACCAACAAAGAATAATTAGTCCTCAACTATCCTCAGAGAAGCATGATCTCTCAAATAGAGTTATATATACTCATCTCTAATTCTCACAGGTAAGTGTTTATCTCATTCAATCACTTCATTTAGACAATCCAATATTGATAATCATCTTCAAGCAATCAACAATTGTTAAACAAGACTTAAATCAAAAGGTCTTTTGAGGCTTGTAATAGGGTTGGGCTAAGAAAGAATTATTGGTTTTTCTGGGATATACAAAAATATTTGAGAAATTCAACTCATATGAATGATTCTTGATTAACAATTCCTCAAGTCAGGTTTCAAACTTCATGCTTTTGTCCCTTTTTTTTTGCTTTTGCATGTATCCTTTTTTTTGGCTTTGCAAATTTTTAAGCTTTGCTTTTCCTTTTTCTTTACACTTTTTTTTTAACAATAACACCCCAACAATACCTGTAGGACAACAATAGCAATACCCAACAATAAGAAAAATAGTGACATTCATACTCATTTCATTTCTCAAATATAGGAAGGTAGATAAATAGTGTTTAGGCTTAAGGGTTCTGTTTAAGAAACAATATTATTTTTGGCTCAAAAGGGGTTCAAATGGATGTCCTATAATTAATGCATGGTTGGCTATTTGGCTTTGGGTTATATATACTACAAAGAAAAAAATTTCCTTTATAACATCAAAGAATCAACCAATATCAGTTATCATCACAAAATGTTGACACTCAATTTATCTGTTTTTGGTACTCTGCTCACCTGGGTTTTGGCTAGCTTCTCCAATTCAGTTAATTCCTAATTTTCCTCATCAATTCCTTTTCACTATCATACTCCATATCCCAAAATCACTTGTTATTGAAAACAATCAAAATTATTTTTCACGTTCTATATTTGAATTAGACAATAAGCAATAATCTCATACATGGCTCTAAAACAAATTATGGGACAAAAGGGAATTCAAAATTTAAAATAAAACAATTAAAAACATTAAATTAAAAACAAAGGAATTAAAAACATTAAAAACAAAATAAGTTTCCTCCCTCATTTTTTTCACTTGTCATGTACTCCTTATCTTGTGTCTCAGCTTCAGCTGCAGACTTTCTCACCCCCTCCAGAAAAGTTGGACTGTCCCCAGGCCATTGAGGTAAGGTTTCAAAGTCTTGAGGAGAAGTGCACTGTGTACCTGGAGCAATCTTGCAAAGAAAGAACCTAAGGAAGAAAAATGCACAAAAAACTTAAACTGCAAAAAGAAAAAAAACAAATTCAAAACATTGGGTTGCCTCCCAAGAGCGCTTGTTTAACGTCTTTAGCTCGACGCCTATTTGCTTTAGGGCTCATGCAAGTGAGTGATCAAGGTGATATATACGCATTCTCCATCCCTTAACTGTCCTTGTGGGAACGAATTTATTCTTTTCATTGTGAATAACCTTACAACTGTCAGAGATTGGATAAATCATACCTGCTTCAGGAGGTTTCAGTACCTCTCTTTGAATAACTTCCTTCATAGTCAGACTAAGATGTCTTTGGGGTTGTGCAACATGCTTGTAATCTTGTTTTTCAGTTGAGATGAGTAATTCATCCAAAGTATCTATTATGAGACAATCTTTCTTGTTTGTTGTACAGCTTCAAACAGATTAAAATTAACTTCATCATCTCCACTTCTAATTTTCAACTTGCCCATGTCAACATCTATAATTACTTTGGCAGTCTTCATAAATGGTCTTCCCAGGATCAATGTGACTTCCTCATTTTCCTCCATGTCCATAATCACAAAATCAACAGGAAATATGAATTTGTCCACTTTAACTAAAACATCTTCTGCTACTCCATAAGGAATCTTTAGAGATCTGTCAGCTAGCTGTAGTGTCATTCTTGTAGGCTTTACTTCCAAGTCTCCTATTCATTTGAGCATAAATAATGACATGAGGTTTATACTGGCCCCTAAATCAAGTAATGATTTTTTCACCGGTAATTCACCAATTGTGACTGGTATAGTGAAACTTCCAGGGTCCTTGGACTTTTGAGGCAATGATTTTTGGAATATAACACTGCATCCTGCCTCTAACTCTATTGTTTCATCAGTAAATCTTCTTTTCTTAGTTAAAAACTCTTTCATGAATTTGGCGTATGTTGGCATTTGCTCCATAGCTTCCACAAATGATATATTAATTTGTAATTGCTTGAAAATATCCATGAATCTTGCAAACTGTCTTTCTTTATCTATCTGTGAAGGAGCCTTGGGATACGATAACTTCTCTACAAATGGTTTTTGACTTCCTCCTTTTTCTATCTTCTCTTTGTTCTTCTTATTAGGAATATGTCTTTCTTTATTATTCTCCTCTTCTTGCTCTTCATCTTCTTTTACCAAAACTTCTTCTTCAACAACTATATTGTCAGCAATCCCCTTACCTACAACTTTTCCACTCCTTGTAGTTATTGAATTGCATTGCTCCCCGGGGTTGGTTTGTGTGTTAGCTGAAAATTGTCCTCCTTGTTGCTGCTCAGATAATTGCTTAGCCAATTGGCCTATTTGGGTTTCTATATTTCTGAATGAAGCCTCAGTATTTTTCTGATTAGTCATAGTGCCTTGCATGAATTTTTCTAAAGTATCCTCCAATTTACTTATTCTGTCAGGTACTGAAGGATAATGTTGTTGATATGGAGGTTGCTGATATGACTGTTGTTGAAATGCAGGTTGTCTAGTAGATGAGCTAACACCTTGGTTCCACCCAAAATTCTGATTTTGATTTTGATTCCCTCTCCATCCTTGTGCAAAATTATTCTGATAATTATTGGGATTAGGAAAATTGTCTTGTCTGCCTTGACTACTACCTTGGGCCCCCATATAATTAGCTTCTTCTTGCTGAATGCTGCCTTGATAAGAACATTGTTCATTTGCATGATCACCTCCACACACATCACAACTCATCTGTTGATTAAGAATAAATTGTACTATGTGCATTTGTTGAGGTAATTTCTCTATTTTCTGGTTCAATGCTTCAATTTGTTGCGTTATAAGTTTATTCTGGGCTAAGATAGCATATGAGCTATTAAGTTCAATTACTCCCTTCCTTTGAATTGGATGTCTATCATGTTGGGTCTGTTGGTCTGTAAAGGCTAGTGCATCAATAATTCTGGTGGCATGATTAATTTCTACATCCAACATAGATCCTCCTGCTGCAGCCTTAAATAACATCTTTGCATCATGTCGCAAGCCAGTATAGAAAATATTCAACTGAGAAACGTCATCAAATCCATGATTTGGGCAACTTCTCAACAGTGATTTAAATTTCTCCCGTGCTTCACAAAATTGCTCATCTGCTCTTTATCTGAAAAAAGTGATGTCAGATTTTGTTTTGATGT